TGGGGGCTCCCGGAACTCGGCAGAAAATCCTCTAAGTCATCATTTAAATAGGAACATTCAACTGGATTGAATAAATATCATGTGTTTTTTTAAAGTTTTCAAGTACTTACGGTAAAAGTAGTGAATACGGGCTTTTTGGGAAAAGTTTTTGCTAATGTTTCAGTTTTGTCACAATGCTATAAGTAACCTTGGACAACTGAATTAACTGCCATGATGAAGAACCCTCATCTACAGCATGGGACTGACCATAACAACAACTCATGCTTTTTAAAATCTTATATGTACTCATATAAACCATGAGATGGCACACAATAACCCTTTAAAATATTAAGTATTAGTTTTGATAAATTATGTTTCTATTTATTATTTAAATAATTGTTATGTATTTGGTACAGGGTCTCACTACACAGCTTGGACCCAGTGATCCTCCTGTTTTCAGCCTCCCCAGTGCTAGGATTGTAGGCACACACATCACCACACCTGGTCTTGGTGGCTGGCAGAGCATGTCCAGGGTCAGGCCCAGAATGGCTTGTGGGGCCCCAACTGGAACAGTGCTCCCTGTGCTTGCCTAAGCAGGCACTTGTCTGCTGAACTATTTCACTAGCCCTCTTCTATGTTTTTAATCCAGAAAAATCAGTTGAACAGTAAGATTGTGGGGGTTCAGGAAGAATAGCAGTAGACCAGGAATTGGCTGTTGAAAGGAAAATAGGACAGTTTCAGAGTGAATCTGGGGCCCAACTGCATCCAAGCCTTCCGCACTCATGCTGCACAGGACACACCTTACACTTGCTGCACACACACACACACACACACACACACACACACACCCCTAGTAGGCCCCTTATGACTGCATCAGTTGGGAGATTATGGCTATTTTGACAGATTTTCCATTTTCCAACATATGAACTTGGTCTCTTTGTCATTTTTGATCATTTATATCTCCATTTTACTTTAGACTTTTCTATATAAAATTCTAATAGTTTTGTAAGACAGAATTCCTTCCATCTTTATGTACTCTCATGTAGTGCCTTGTGAAATTTTTAAAGGAACAAGGAAATTGAGTTGGCGGTGTCATGTTACTGAACTCGGGGAAATAGATATTTGTCAATTTAGCAGAAGCTAAAAATTGGCAGGAGAAAGTGGTGAATTTCATACCGTAAAAGTATTTGCTATTTAACCAGTGATAAGCAAGAGGAAAGTAACTGAACCATCCTAGTGCTTTCTGCATGCAGCACGATGCTCGACACTATGATCTGAAGGAAGAGAGGGCTAACTGGGCACATGTTTTCAGTCCATGGTGGGCAGGCTCACTATTGAGGCAAGAATGACCCCTTGTGGAAGAGCATCACCTGAGGGAACTGCTATAACGTTGCAACCAGGAAGCAGAGAGAGAACGGAGTACACAAGGAAGGACATACAGCCTCCCAGGGAGGCACAGCCCTAGGGAGCCACCTCTTCTGGCCAGGCCCCACCCCTGAGCAGCAGGTCGGGCAGTGCCTGCGTGATTTTATCACTTTCCCAAATAACAGACCCAAGCACCTGAGACCTTGAAGGGACAGACCATACCCAAAAACATCACTTCAACGAACTGGAAAAGTACTTATAATAAACATGGTAAAGGACCAACTTCTTTCTTTTCCAAAGTTATATTTGAAGTCACAGAGGACAAGCTCAATCAAAACAGCATCAGGGTTTCAGGGTAAATCCTGAAGGGATTTGACTGATCTTGTCAGATACA